TCCACTACAATGTCACCTCAAGTAGTTGCACTTGAACACACTGCAGAAACTGCAGCAAATGGAAATAACTAGTCAGTGTTCATAATCCACAATCCAAGCATCATGGAAAGACTAAACAAGCAAAGTAGCCAATTATTTTCATGCTGCTGTCTCTGCTGCCAATTCAGCATGTCTGATTGGCCAAATGGCCGCCAGAAAGGGGTGTGTAATGCCATCACGTCCCTACACACACACACACACACACACACACACACTCAGACACACAAGCATAAATAATTTCACGCTATGTACCCACAATGCATCATTTGTGATCTCAACTGGAAACTGTGTGAGTGTGTGTATCCTGGTCTGCAACAGGACATTTCACAACATACACCTGTTGATGCACTAATCACAGGTTTCTCTCATGTGCCGTGTTGCTATTAATGTCACTCTAATCTGAAAATACAGCAGCTGATTCACATGTGTGTGTCATTCAGTCAAAGCGGCCGTCATTATTCACTGCCCCTCCTACGCAAAACAATAGGCAGCATGGAAACCTCAGTGAGTCATACCTTTCTGTAGGAGACCAAGCATCTCTACCCCCCCCCTGTCTATCTCTCTCTACCGCTCTCCAAACATAGACGGCCCTGTGGCCCCTTAACTGGCTATGAACTGTCTGCAAAAACAAGACCAAACACACAGAAATATACCTGCAGATGGTGAGTCTACATTTACCTACAGACTAAAATGCATTCTGCCGGAAAGTGTTTCAAGCCCACTGGAATTAGCAGCAACAGCAGTGGTGGAGGTAGAAAAGCAGACCCATTACATACTGTGTGTACAGAGTGTTGTGGCAGACAGTATGTATCGTCTGAATCAACATCCTGTTATAAAAGGATGTACACACCCGGGTACATGTGTTTGTGTTTGTATATGTGTCATTAACCTAAGAGATGGTCATAAACTCAGTGGCTGTTGTCCTCATGATGGTTAATGAGACAAATAAAGAGTATGGACAAACAAAACATAAACGCTGCACAATATAAGGCAGCTGGTGCTGGGGTTAGGACTTCAGCTGTAGTACATGGGGTGCAAGCTCTCTCTAGGTGAGTTACCGGAGCGCCCTATAGTACTTTTTTACTCTGATTTTATGCATATGGTGGTTAGATATTTTTAAAATTACATTATATCGCCTTGCTTACAGTATTGTAAAATATTGCCTTGTTTACAGTATTGTAATATATCACCTAATTCTTGAATTTCCCTCGGGATAAATAAAGTATCTATCTATCTATCTATCTATCTATCTATCTATCTATCTATCTATCTTGCTTACAGGATTGTAATATATCGCAGTATATTGAATCGTAACCCTGTATCTTGATGCATATGAGGAATTTGTATAGTCAAATTCACAGCCATATACACAGCACCACTACAAACCTTTACTTAGAGTTCACTGCATAAAATAATACAACTAACAAAACTAAGGAAAGTGATCGTCAGTTTTTTTCAAAAGATTGTGGCTTATTAAAATATTATAATTAAGGTTCATTCTAGATCTTGGAAACAAATAATCCAAAGAACTAAAACAACTAAAAGAATAAATAAATCTTTCTGATAAAAAGTCCAAACTTACTTATTGTTTATGTTGTATGCTGTCAACCACATCTCATGGCCTTCTGCAGCAGATGGTATATCTCAACTAAACCATCTCCATGGCAACTGATGCTGCGTTCACGCATTATTGGCAGAACGGGAAGAACAGTAAAACCTCCTGTTGTATCCCTTTGGAAGTGTTTACAAATGATTCTACTATGGTCACACTAACCTCAACCTGACTGTGCTAGATGGTTTGTTACACAGGACCATCTAGAAAGTTGTTGTTGGTAACTGTTTGGAAAAGGGACAGGTACTCGAAAAAAATACATGGCAGGTGGCTCACCCACAGGGGCTGGGTCCTTGCTGTAGCAGGCAGCCCCTGTCCGACCTGTAGCATTTGAAAATGTATAAAATGTACAATAATTATAAATTCAGTTTTATTGAACTAACAAGATGAAGAGTCTAAAACCATGCTAGATGCTCTGTGAGCTAAATACTAGCGTCAACATGCTCACAATAACAATGTTAATATGCTGATATTTAACAGGTGTGATGTTTACCATGTTCACCGTCTTAGTTTAGCATGTTAGCATGCGAACATTTGCTAATTAGCACTACTTTTGCACGGATTTGGCATAAACCAAAGCATTGGACAAATGTATGACCTGATGATGGCGCTAGATGAAACAGTCAGGGGATCATGGAAGATATTAAAACCACGAATATCTGTACAAATCTGGACCACAGTGGTTACAGACAGACACTGTCATCCATAGAGCCCCGCAGTGAGCATGGCTGACACTAAACATCATCAACATCACAGCCTAGAGCTTGCACATGGTCCCCAGAGGATGAATGCCAATTACTGTGGTGAGCCCAGTTTTTCCTGTAGTGTCACCATCAATCTAAAAGTTCCACTTGTATTTTGGAAATGTCAATATCTAAGGGGCAGATTGCCCAGACCTTTACTGACCACATTCAGGCCCCCCAGAGGATGAAACCTTTCCATTTTGCAAGCTGCGTGAGCTAGGTATGGATGTCAGGATTTGTCATAATCTAATGAAATGAGCACATTCACGCTACCAAGGGAGCCCATGACCTTTCCTTCACTCCTACACTCAAGACAAACTTTACAGTTTTTGTTCCTCTATGAGTGAAGCTTTAAGTGTGTATAGCACTTTTATATTGTGATGGGAAGGAACATTGCTGCTTTTAGGGGGCACTAATGGTGCTTTAGACTTTTAATCTTGTTCCCAAACAAAAGAAGTTTTTGGATGTCTATAATGGAGCATGATGGATGATCTAAATTATTAATCTCAAACAAATGGTCTGACCCTAGAATACGTACAGCACTGTGCCTTATTGCAGAGGAGGCAGAGAGAGCAGCTGTGTTACATTCCTCAAAATACCTTTAACTGCTCCAGTCTAATCCTCTCCTGTGTCTGTGTATTTTATTTAAATGGAGTTGTCATTCATGTTGACTTTTTAAGGTTTAACAAGACTGCTGTTCATGCGTGAAGCTCTGCCAACAGGTTTACGCGTCGTCAGCTTTGATGGAGCTTGAGATGTGACAAATTTAGATTTTCCCTCACCAGCAAGCAGACAGTCAGACAGCGGGAAGCGATGCAACAAGCTTCAATTTAATGCTTTAGGAGGGCAACGAGTTTACAAAGAAGCATGGAAAATGGAAAATGTCACAGGTGTATGTGTGAATTATGTGTGCATGAATGAATTTCTGGCTTTTTATGTTTGCTTATAATGGAAAACATATGTAGTGTATGTGTGATCAATAATCAGTATTGCATCTTATCCAGTGAGTAGTTTATGTGCTTTCTTGTGTTTGGATTGGTATTTTTTTCCCTTTCTGTTCTCTGTTGGTTATAATGTTGAGCTTTTCCATGTGTATGAAATATGGTATATAAATAGACTGCCTTGCCTTGCTTATAACCAGGGACGGCTGGTATATATCGGCTAACAGGGCTAAGCCCCCCTATCTTTTACAGTAAAGATGAAAAACTATTATTAAAAACCTTAGAACATATTGTTTTGAATTTTGGTGGAACCTAGAGCAGCAACAGCAGCAAAAAATGACAGAAATAACCCAGGATATATGATTTATCTTGGGTTTTTTCTTTGAATGGGCTACATTTATTCAGCCCAAGCACAGTAGCGTAAGCTTCCATTCACTTTTGATTGACAGGTGTCGTGATACGCCCCCTTCAGATGCTGCCCATTTGGGCTAAATTCATTCAGCCCAAAGCCCAGTGACCTTCGACCAATCACAGTGCAGTAGCCACAGTACAGTGACCTTCGACCAATCACAGTGCAGTAGCCACAGTACAGTGACCTTCGACCAATCACAGTGCAGTAGCTACAGTACAGTGACCTTCAACCAATCACAGTGCGGTAACTATAGTACAGTGAGGCTAGTTCGTAGTAATGGCGGGCGTTAGCAGGAACATGAACAAGGTGGATTATTTACTTTCTAATCAATTTTCTTGTCTTTGGAGGAAAAATTGGAAGTACAGAGATCAGGAACACATCATCCAAATGATGTACAAATAACACAAAAGGACAAACGACAAAATCGTAACTTTTGTGTTACGTGGTTTCAGCAAAAGGACTTGCTAACGGCAATTGTAGCTAGGAATTCACTTTTCTGTTTCCCATGTTTGCTTTTTGGAGGAGAAACGGCTTGGACCCAACTTGAATACGAAGGATACGGCGCTCTGATAATGTGTCAGTAGCCGCACAGTGCTGTGACATAATGGTTGAGCAGTCAAAGGCGCGCTTTGAGAAAGCCAGGCACTTGGTGTCTTTGCATGTGCACATTACCCAATGATCTGCAGGGAGACACAGAAAGGTGAGCTGATGGTGAGGTACAGCAGGGTGGAGTTTGACATGGTGATTAACCTGTTTGCGTCACAGAAAGGCCGTCGATGTGAGCTGCTTTTTAAAAAAGGTATGCCCAAGCTCTGAAACAACTCTCTCTTCTACAAATACTGTTATTTTTTTATAGTTTTATTTTTGGTACATGGTGTTGCAAATTGTTGCTGGTACTTTTCTATAATGTTGTTGTAGCGCAATTGGCATGTGCTGATGTGTACAGAGGAGAGAGAGAGAGAGAGAGATTATTTTTCGTCATCAGGCCATTCTTTTGGGTTTGTCTCCCCAGTGTTGCTGTTGAGCACTTGGTATAACAAAGTATACAATGTTGTTACTGTAACTTGATGTGATGCTACTGTTGCTGCTGTGTGACGTATTGATGAGTGTAATGCATTTGTTAGCCCACCCACCCAAAATCATCACCAGCTGTCACTGCTTATATGAATGTTGCCTATATAAGTGCTGTATATACAGTTGTGTAAGTGAAGATATAATGGTCTAATTTAATGTGTATATGTTTGTGTGTGTAGGATCTGGGCATGGAGTCAACATCTCTGGATGACGTGTTGTACCGCTACGCCAGCTTCAGAAACCTGGTTGACCCCATCACGCATGACCTGATTATCAGCCTGGCACGATATGTCCACTGCCCCAAGACGGTAGGACACACACACACACACACACACAAAAATCATCTTGTGTGAAGAATACATTGTAAATATTGCAGATTAAAGTAAACACGGTTGTGCATGTTCACACTCACACGCACACACACACTCACACAGACCGACGTGATTCATTTCTTTGCTGCTATCAGATGATCTCCTGACTCATTTTGTCTGACACTATTAGGTTACGGAAGTGCTCAAAGTGGTTGTGTGTACGTGTGTGTGTGTCCTTGAGGGAAGTACAGCTCCTTGTGTTTGTTCATTCATGTAGTCCAGTATGTCATTGAGGGAGAGAGAGCGTGACAGAAGCCATACTGGATAAATAATGGAGGGAGGAAGGAGGAGTGATGGAGAAGAGGATAGGAATTAAAAGGCCTGATGTGTAATTGCAGCATGGTGCATGGTGCTGAAACACGCCCGACTGCTGGCTCTGTTAAAAGGCTTATTTTAAACTAGTGCTGGGCCCATTTACTGTAGGAAGAGATCAACATCTAATAAACAGCTATCATATTATTTGTAGACCTCTGGCTGAAATCTTTCCTCCTGGCTTAAGTGATGCAAATGTGTTTCTGAGAAGATAAGTTAATTCTTCTAATCTATGTGTGAGTGGTGTGTGTCACGTGTTACATTTTTCCCTTGACCTCGCCAAGACCTCATGAAACACCATCTTGCCTCTTTAATTTCATCTATTTCCTGTGAAAACAGGATGCTGGAGATAGACGGTTCATTAGTGTGATTTAAAGTCATTTTGCATATCTGCACAAAACCAACTATCAAAAATGAAAAATGAAAAAATACTTAGGTGTTAATTTCGTCGATGAAAAATCTGACAAAAAATGTTCTTTGCCTTTTAATATTCTTACCTTTTGTTCATGACAAGAATTAGGCTAAAACTAAATAAAGAGTAGCTTTCAAAAACAAGAACTATAACAAGATGTATGTTCTATTCGTCAGTGAATAAAAACTAATCCATAATGTGAAACACAACAAATGCACAAATAAACCAATTTGTCTTTTTATGCAACCTGCATACGTGTAAAGTCAAGCAGTATCCTGCCCCGCCAAAAAATATTAGATTTAGCTGCTTGACCTGTTGCACTAATAAACACCATTTTGCATTTCGTAACGTTGTCGCTGCCAGTGATGTTTGCTAACGTAACTGGTTCTTGAAAGCAAAAAACACAAAATTTGCCAAAAAGCAACAACAAAAAAAGTATCAAGGAAGTGTATTTGCTATACCTCACATGGTCGTCGTAGTCCCTTCAGGCTACAGACATAGTTTTCTATGTGTAAGAGATATATACAGTTATTTCACTATATACACCCAGGAAATAATTTTACAGGGCATCTTTTTAATTTGGGTCTGGTTGAATGTAAATTGCAGCAACAAGATAGTGATGATAATATGGTTTCATCTTCAGATAAAAAGAAACAGTGTGCTTCCACTTTGACTGCGTTTGAGCACCAAACATCATCGATGTAAACACAGAGTCCGCCTCCTGTTGTCCTTAACATGGCCCGTCCATCGAATGCTTGATCTGGGATGTTGATGGAGCAGGTCTCACTAAAGAAGTGTCTGATTTTCCGTTGTTTGGCCGCCCTGAGTTCCATTTAGTCTAAACCGGTCATTATCAAGGACCAGCTGTAAGTCCAACCTGGTCCAGCATGGCTCCTATCCAGCTCTCTTCCTCTCCTCTTGGGGCGACCACAACACCCGCCCCCTGGTGAGCTGTAGACTATCGCTGTCTTACATAGGTAATAGATGTTCAGCAATAAAGCTGAAAACAGCTAGCCTTCCAGTTGCAGCATCTAAATGCGCAGCCGTTGCTAAAATCAAAATCTTGAACAACTTGGCGTAGCCCGTTAAAACCCAATCAGACATAATTTAGTAGTGGGATCAGTATATTAGTGAACAGGTGAGTGAATACAGCTTCTGAATGATCAAATAAGAGTCAAATTTAAACAAAAACTCGACCAAATGGGTTTGTTACATTACTCCATTACTTAAATGTTGTAAAATGTTGTATTAGCTGAATGTACCAGATTTGTGTGAGTCCTAAAATGCATTGTGGGAGCTGGTAATCGCTTGTTATCGATGTGCAAGACAAAAATTCAGTGAGACTCTTCACATAGGCCGAAGCTGCAGAGGAAATGGAAGATAAGGGTTTTGTGTACAGTTCATGATAGGTGAACAGTGAGAGGCTGACAAGAGCAGAGTAAGAATGAAAGAAACAGCAGAGGGGCTGTTGTTATGTGCGGAGAGAAAAGCAACAAGAGAAAGGAAGCACAGAAGGAGACAGAGAGAGAGAGAGAGGTGTTATTTCCCTCGTTCTGCTCCGTCCGTCCAGACTGATACGTTCGATCCCAGTTCTGTTTTACTTCCCTGAACTCAACATCAAAGATATTTGAGGGTTCGCTGCTTGCCCTTTGATGGGATTTCATAAAATATTAATGCAGAATCTGAGTTTCACATAAAAGCAACTTTATATAAGAACAATTTCTGCTGCACATTTTGTTTTCCATAATTTGGACGCATATATAATCACTGAATATTTGCAGTGCTGTCACTGGTGAGCTTATATGGTAACTTAGCAAAATCAATTCCCCGTAACAAGTGTGACAACTCATTATTCCCATTTAAATAACAGTATTACAGTCTACTATGAATAATAATTTCTTACCTCACTGCAGAGAAATTAAATTCAAGTCTCTTATGTTCAAATTATAAACCAGACTTCAGTCGGTTCAATTTTTCTTTCCTTTTTCATGAGAACTGGTCAGACTTTGTTTTATAGAATGTGTGCCTAATTATTTTACAGCAGTGGCAGCAGCAATTTTGAACAATCATACTAATCATAAACTATTGATAAATTTACTCAAAGTTTCTTAACCCACACAAACACAAGATATTATTACTAGGGATGAGCGAGTACATCATTTACTGTATCTGTTCAACCAACCAAATTATCTTAATTTATATTCGTACTCGGAATGGGTCATGCTTAAACCGGAAATGGTCGGGGCTAACCGGAATTTGTTAATAAAAGCCTGAAATTGATACGGGTTGCTACATTTATTAGAAAACAGAATTAAACTTCAGAGCATAACACATTATACTCTGACGATACTCTTAGCCAGCACTCATCAACCCTAATTATTGTATTATCATAAAGCTGATATGGCCAACTCGTTAGCAAAAAGTTTACACATCCAGCAGACCCAGAGCAACACAAGCATTCATTTTGTGCTTTAATTTGGTTGTGTTTGTGGCCACCCTAAGAATTTGAGTCCAGTATTGGCTCTCTGTTAGCTTTGACTTCAGCAACTCCTGAGGGAAATATCTGGCTCTTCACTGCTGAATGCTCCACTAAGCTCCACCAGCTAGTCTTTAACTTTGTGTTTCTGCTCTGTGTTGCTGGGCAGGTAGTGTTTACCCGAGGTCTTTTTCTGAGTTACCCCCCAATTCCACCGGACACGTCCGCAAAGCGCTGCAGCTCCACTTCTGAAACGCTCTCGGTGGGATTTGAAGAAGGCGTCTCACACAACAATGTTATAAAGCCGTGCCCGGTGGAATTTTGGGATCAGGTGATCTGTGGCTTTGTCTCTCAGAACGACACCTTTCACATTAAACACAGTAAACTGATCTACTGGTAATATAAAAAAATATGAATTAGAGCAGCTTTAACTTATGATTCAAATACTCAATTTACTTGGGATGTGTTGTGTGTCTGCTGGTCCCAGAGCAGGGTGAACTAGACATTGCCTTGTGCTTCCAGGCAATGTCACACATGGACATACAGATAGACATAGACATACAGACAAGTAAATGAGGTAAAGGTATTATTTATTTTAACAGATACAAATAAAGCTTGACAGAAAGTCTTTTGCGCTTAGGCTCTACGTTTGCAATTGAGGAGCATCTACCCTGAACCGCAGCTAGATAAATCCCCACATGGATTCCAGACACTGGGGGTGGTGGTTGATGACTCTGCTGAGGCTGATGGTCGAGGAAGCAGATCAATCTGCAAAGACTGGGCAGTAATGGGGAGGTCATAACAGCAGCATGAATGCATTCAAATATTTTATATTCTACGTACACCTAACAGTAGAATAAGGCACTATAAACCTATATAAAGGCTCAGTCATGCAAAAAAAGGTATATCACAAGACTGTTAAATTGCAATATAGATGGGTGTCCTGAGAGCTGACCTGGTAGAGCTGGTGCCCTATAGACCAAGGCTGCTGCAGCGGTCATGGGTTCAAATCTGAGCCCTCTGCTGTGTGTCATCCCCTCTCTCTCTCTCTCTCTCTCTCTCTCTCTCTCTCTCTCTACCACATTTCCTGTCACTCTTCAGCTGTCAGTATCAATTAAAAGCAATAAATGTCAAAAAGATAGTAAATGAATCGTGATATCAAGGTGCAAAGACTTTTCTTTCACAAAGAAAAGGAAATCTGCATTGTTTTGCACAGTTTATACACTGCCTCAAACATAAAAAAGGATTCAGTAATTTGATGAAGACATATGTTTTCTAGATTTATGTCTGAGAAATAAATTAATCTGTTTCAATTTGTCTTCAATTTCATTTTGTTAAAACAATTGAGAAACTCATATTGTGAACCCAGGGAATTGTATCGATTGTCATTATAACATGTTGCAAACTTCTTATCATGCCACCCAGCACTAGATTGTACAAATCACTGACTCGAGAAGGTGGATTGAAGTCACAAAGCCATGCAGACACATTGCCTCCTCACAACTTCCCTCCACAGAGGACATTTCCTTCAAGCAGCACCATAAAAGCACAAGAGTGCTCTCAGAGACCCCTCACACCCGACACACATAACCTGCTCTGCCTTCAGGCTTCTGATAACACCGCATCTGGGCAGAGGGGACATGTTTTAAGGATGTTGTTTGCTGCCCATTTTCTGCACTGTTGGCTTCACTTCCATCTGCCACTGTGTTATTTTATACAGCTGGGTTTGTGGTTATT